TATATAGTCTGGTGTTGTTTATATAGTCTGGTGTTGTTTATATAGTCTGGTGTTGTTTATATAGCCTGGTGTTGTTTATATAGCCTGGTGTTGTTTATATAGTCTGGTGTAGTTTATATAGCCTGGTGTTGTTTATATAGCCTGGCGTTGCTCATATAGCGTCGTCTTGTGTATATAACCGTCATATTAATGAATGGCACGACGGATGGTGCCACAATATGGCACGATGCCACGCTTGCCATAATGGCGTATCGTATCACAGTTGCCATACTGGCGCACGGTGCCACCGTCGTCATAATTAAATCAGTGTTCCTTGGCTTGGCGGAGAATATTTAATCTGGAGACAAAAGACGGTGGTAATGGGTGGTGGGGGGGGGGTGAAGGGGGGGTGGTATTGGTGTGCGCTAATTGGTTATTTGAAACTGTTGTCGCCGGGAGCGTCCCTCGCCCCGTCCCTTGTCCGGCCGGGGCGGAGCCACAGGGGAATAGGGAGCAGGATAGGAGCCACAGGGGGAAAAGGGAGCAGGATAAGAGCCACAGGCTAGGGGACAGAGCAAGAGTCACAAGTGATAGACATGATATAAGAGTCGTAGGTGAATAGAAAACGGTGGGGTGACGGGTGAAGGGGGGAGACTTACCTGTTGTTAAGCCAGCAGTAAATCATGGGATTGTACATGGAATTGGACATAGCGAGCCAGTAGATGGCCAGGTAGGTCTCCTGGATGTAGTCAGTGTGGGCGATCTCTGGCATCTGTAGGGGGGAGAGAGAGACACCATCAGTCACCTTGAGAAGTAAATAGTGCCAAAAATGCTCTCAAGGATAAATTCTGTTACTGAAGAAAGACATATTTACGGACATACATGTGTCACGTATATTTTTTTTATACTGTGATATCGATGAAAGGTATTTGACACACTTTCACGATACCAATATCGTCTGTCACAGTGTCTTGGCACTGATATGCATATTGTTTAACTGTTGAATATTATTTTGATATCATAATACTTATTGGCTTTGATATCGTTATGATCACCGTCTGATAACAGTCCTATCCGGCCTCAGGAGTCATTTTACCAACCTAGAAATTGCTAACACACAAGAAAGTAACTGACCACCAGTCGGCAACATCCTAAATTACTCTCAGATTAGTAACTTTAAAGAATAAATTAAGGGTTGGATTAAAAACTAATTTAAATATCCAACCCCCCCAAAAATGTTGTAACTTAATTAAATAACTGAGACAGAGTTTAAAATTAAGAGTTTAAATTTCGAAGTTTGAAAGAAAGATTAACTATGGCAAATGGCTTATTAAATGTAAGTTAAAATGTTCGCCATGAATTCCGAAAGAAAAATGAAAGCAGAATGAACTTTCGTGTTTAATGAACACGTTATCAAAAATCAAATAACCGAAACACAACTCTTGAATATATAGGCAGAAAAGAGACATTTCTTTCAGTTATATATATATATATATATATATATATATATATATATATATATATATATATATATATATATATATATATATATATATATATATATATATATATATATATAAAAACGACAGAAAATTTTAGATATATGATTCTGGCACGAATCTTCTCGATATTCCTTATGTTTTTCTTCACTGAAGTATGAAGTTGAAAAATTAACTCTCCAAAGTTCATTTTTTACTTTTTATTGGGTCTGACGCCTAGTGATGCGTTTCGTAAAGTTACTCCTCACATTTCCAAAGACAAATTCTACAGTAACCGCTGGGAGCCTCCTATCAACAAATGCACACCAGCACGCCTTAACATATTCCTAAATGCAAGAAGATCTGGACTCACAAGTCCAAAAGTCCACAACTCAAGTCCCGGGCCCCGCCCCGCCCCCAGCAACCAACCACTCCACACATAGTTGGCCAGAGACGTAAACTTAGATAAGTTGCGTCAGGTCCGAAAAAACTTTTTTTTAACCATCGCTGCAACTTTGGACAATTATATAGCACTAAAGACCCGGCCGCAGAGGTATTTAACGACTGGGGTAAGGAGGTGGGGGGGCCTCTTACCTCAAGGGTAAGAGGGGGGGTCCTCTTATCTCAAGGGTAAGAGGGAGGTCCTTTTACCTCAAGGGTAATGGGTTTTAGGCGCGTTTTAAGCTTTAGTTTAAGGAAATTTGAAGGGGAAACTAAAAAAAAATTCGGCTTAGTAAGTAAATCGCTTCTGAATTATTTTCTCGTTACCTTTGATTAGTAATTTATGCTTTTCTCTTTTATTCACCTTGTTGGTTATATGTTTCTTTAGCTCTGTGTGTTTATAAACGCCTCAGTCTCCCTTTCTGAACGCCTCCGCTTCGTTCTGAACGCCTCCGCTTCGTTCTGAATGCCTCCGCTTCGTTCTGAACGCCGCCTCGCTCTGAACGTCTCCGCCTTGCTCTGAACGCCTCCGCCTTGCTCTGAACTCCTCCATCTCTGTGGGCGTCCGTGTGAGTCCTGTGAGCTCGTCTCTGTCACACACAGGTTCTGGCCACTAACCTTGGCTTCTCACCACCCACCACCACTACTCTGCCACCCACCACCTCTACTCTGCCACCCACCACCACTACTCCGCCACCCACCACCACTACTCTGCCACCCACCACCTCTACTCCGCCACCCACCACCACTACTCCGCCACCCACCACCACTACTCCGCCACCCACCACCACTACTCCGCCACCCACGACCTCCCTGAGGCAAACTACAAACATCCAATCTGTTCCGAATTCTTTTCATCTCAAGCATTTTCCTTTTTCATTTTTAGAGTTTTTTCTTGTGTGTGTTCACTCCCCTTACCTGTCTCACTCCCCTCACCTGTCTCACCCCTCACCTGCCTCACCCCCCTACAGGACAACTTACCAGATTGAAGAGGATGAAGCAGACATGATAGGGCAGCCAACAGATGGCGAATATCGTCACGACCACAATCATCATCTTCACCACCTGCAACAACAACACGCTGTATTATACATTATCCTTATACAATATTTGGCTTAGAAATGTATACGTGTATCCAGTTAATACACGACGTATGCAACACATACTCAATAGTGCCCAGACTACACACAGACCCCTCTGTTGCCATGTCAAACCCTTCCCTTTCCCTACCTTTCCTTCCCTCCTTCCACTTCCCTTGGTTATCTTACCTTCCTTTTCGACCTGATGCTCTCCACCTGCCGCGGCGTCTGCTCCCCAATGCTGCGGCTGCCCCACAGCGTCAAGCCGATCCTCGCGTACGTGAACCCCATACACAGCAAGGGTAGTATGTAGGTCAACACCATCAACACCACTGTATGTCTGGTAGGGAGGGAGGGAGGAGGGTGAAGGGTGTGCGTTAAAGAGGCTACAAGGGACTCCAGTCAATATTCCAGACAGAATTTTGCAATGGGACACCAATGGTGTAGAGATGACATCCCGGGTGCAAGTGAGACATCAGCATGACCTCGGATGTCATAAGCTTCTTCACCGATACTGATATATTATGTCTCAGTGACAGTGAAGACTCTTAGCTCAAGCGTATGATAATAATGTTAACATCATGTCATTTATCTATTATTAACATGTAGAATCTTAATTATAGACTCAAACATATATATATATATACATATATATATATATATATATATATATATATATATATATATATATATATATATATATATATATATATATATATATATATATATATATATATATATATGTTGTGTACTGTATAATATATATATATATATATATATGATTACTCACCTGTTGGTATACCTGTTTGTAAAATAAAAACAAAATGAATAATGTATTGGTTGTTAGTGATTGATGTTAAATGCTGTTAGATCCCAGTGTTCAGGGCAGGTGTTGAGAGTGTTGAGAGTGTGTTGAGAGTGTTGAGAGTGTGTTGAGAGTGTTGAGAGTGTGTTGAGAGTGTGTTGAGAGTGTTAGAGTGTGTTGAGAGTGTGTTGAGAGTGTGTTGAGAGTGTGTTGAGAGTGTGTTGAGAGTGTTGAGAGTGTGTTGAGAGTGTGTTGAGAGTGTGTTGAGAGTGTGTTGAGAGTGTTAGAGTGTGTTGAGAGTGTGTTGAGAGTGTTAGAGTGTGTTGAGAGTGTGTTGAGAGTGTGTTGAGAGTGTTAGAGTGTGTTGAGAGTGTGTTGAGAGTGTGTTGAGAGTGTGTTGAGAGAGTGTTAGAGTGTGTTGAGAGTGTGTTGAGAGTGTGTTGAGAGTGTGTTGAGAGTGTGTTGAGAGTGTTGAGAGTGTGTTGAGAGTGTTGAGAGTGTGTTGAGAGTGTTGAGAGTGTGTTGAGAGTGTTAGAGTGTGTTGAGAGTGTTGAGAGTGTGTTGAGAGTGTTGAGAGTGTGTTGAGAGAGTGTTGAGAGTATTAGAGTGTGTTGACAGTGAGTAAGAGCGTTAACTGTGTAAAAATTTGTTGACTCTAAAAAGGTATTAAGAGTGTGTTCGGAGTGTTCAAGTGTTGAAAGTGTGTTAAGAGTACGCTAAGAATATACATACATACATAGTGAGTGCGTTAAGAGTGCGTGACCAGGGACCATATCTTACAAGATAGCAAGTGAGATGGACTGCTCACAATTCCCTGTCGAGAAAAGTGCCCTCATATTTATTCATGAGTGCATTATGAGGCTGTGGCCGGCCTCGGGAACTCATTTCTCAAGCGAATTGAAATTGGGTTTGTGAGGGGAAATCCCTCATTTTTTTCAGCGAATGAGATATTTCTTATATAATTATTATTTAACGTGTAACATTTATGCACTTAACTTGAGAATCTTTTACATGAGAAGAAATTTGAATAGATGAGAAAAATAGCCATTATCTCATAGATAATTATTATGAGGGGTTATGAGGCAAGAACCTCATGGTGCCTCCATTTATTGTGAGGAGGAGTAAGGTGACCTTCCGCTGGGAACAGTTTTGATATTCTAATGGATCTAAGATATGAGGTTAAGTTACCTCATTTGTTAAGCATGTTATCTTATCTTTCGAGAGAATGAGTATTTTTATCCTTAATGAGGTTGAAGATTATTTACTTGGGGTGACCTGGGGTGACCTGGGGTGACCTGGGAGGAGAAGGGGAGCTCGGAGCGGCGTCTACGACTCACAAATGAGCGTTGCATGACCGTGTATATGAGTAAGCGATGAGTAACTCACAGCTGATAGCTAGCGACACGCACTCATGACTGCCTCGTGACACGCCCGTGTCCTCACACTGATGCATGGGGACACGACACAGCTCCGTGGCTCCGGCCCCCGACACTACACTACTGCAGGTGTGTGTGTGTGTGTGTGTCAGAAGATAAGATGTAGCGGGCAAACACACACCTGTGTTGGCCCCTTCACACCTGGCCAACACGACACATCAAGGGGGCCATGTTGACCTAAGCTCATTGCCCTGCCTATAACTGTCGTTCTTAAGTGTCCCGTGTCGTCTTGTGAGCCTCTTCATTCTCTTCGGCGTTGGCTCTGTACTTCATCAAATTAAATTCTCTAACTGATGCTTGATCAGGAGAGAGAGAGAGAGAGAGAGAGAGAGAGAGAGAGAGAGAGAGAGAGAGAGAGAGAGAGAGAGAGAGAGAGAGAGAGAGAGAGAGAGAGAGAGAGAGAGAGAGAGAGAGAGAGAGAGAGAGAGAGAGAGAGAGAGAGACAGAAAGACAGCGACAGAGAGTGAGACAGAGAGAGAGACAGAAAGACAGAGATAGAGAGAGAGAGAGAGAGAGAGAGAGAGAGAGAGAGAGAGAGAGAGAGAGAGAGAGAGAGAGAGAGAGAGAGAGAGAGAGAGAGAGAGAGAGAGAGAGAGCACTAAGGTACATAACAAAGGTCAAACAAATGAGAGAAGAGCAACACTCTGATGATGATGGTGAGAGAGAGGGCGGCACACGACCAGAGTACCAGGCCCTCCACACAACAATGTGGGCGCTCGAGCGAGAGCGATTGTGCACGCAAGCGACAGTTGAACGCCAAGGACAAGATGGCAGCAGTGCTGCAAGGGGCCGCCCACCGGCACCTCGCAGGTATAAGACACTCTGTAACGAGTCCCTCTATAAGAAGCTCTATAAGAAGTGACGCTCTATAAGGAGTGAAACCCGCCCTGCATGCATACAGAGCTCTATGGAACCCAGAGTCTCTCACAGGAAAGCAAAACCCCCCCATGAACAAATCCACAAGGGCCGTGACGAGGGTTCGAACTTACGTCTGAAAGGATCCCAGACGCTGCCTTAATCGACTGAGCTACTTGCCCTTGTGGATTTGTTCATTTGATGCATCAGGCTATTGTGATTTCTGTATGTAAAAACCCCCCATTTCCTCGCCCCCATGGAGGCAGGAACGGACATGAACTAATTACAACTTGTGCAGCCAGTTATTCACAAAACATTATCACATACGTATATAAATATATTTTTAAATATATTGTGAACATTGGGGGGTAGAGATGATGTGATGTAATCTCTCTTTTATATTATATTAAATCCAGCGCATTTCGGTTCAGTAAATCTGAGTTATTGAAAAATATATATTTTAATGTCAACAATTCCCAAAACCAGGATGTGTAATACTGACACTCTGGGAAAGTGGGTGAATACATATTGATTTACATATGTATTATATTCATATTTTAATCCTTTGTTTAGAACCAAAAGCTTCGTATCCTTTAAGTATTGGTGATGCAAGGATAGATTATTAGAAGGAAAGGCTTGCAAAGGATATGAGACAGACTAATAATAGGGATATGACTGTCTTCATTTCCTGACTGGGAAGTGAGAGCAGACTAGGAGCTGGGATACGATGCTTGAGTGAGGGAACGGTGCCCAATCAATCGGACCAGTGGGCATCGAACGCCGACCCTACACGAAACGAGGCCATCGGTGTGCCGACCAATGCAAAGTGAAGGAGTGGTGGTGGTGGGTCAGAGGCTGCCTCTCCTCCTAACAGCACGTCGCATTTCGACTTATACTCTACTTAAGGCCAAAAATCACCGTACTAGAAAATAATAGCAGCTCGTGAAATTGACACACACAACTTGAGAATAAGCCTCGACTTGAGAATGGTCCAGGACGGACCGAAACGTCGTCGTCCCTTCACCTTCTAGTGTGTGGTCTGGTCAACATACTTTAGCCACGTTATTGTGACTCATCGCCTGACACACACAATCCCCGTTTTCTGTTTTAGGTCCTCTGGAAGACTAGGATAAAGGGGTCACTTCAGTACGAGAGTGTCTTGACGCTGGGAGGGCTAAGGAGGGGTGGGAGGTAAGGGTGGTAGTACTCACACATACTCGGAGTAACTGTCTCCCTGGTCGCCGTCCGGCCAGGCACCGTAGCAGACGACTCTCTCACTGCCGTCCCTGAGAGGCAGCGCCGCCGTGGTGAAGAAGAGCATGTTGGGCATGGAGAGGCAGGTGGACGACACCCAGATCCACACCACGATCATTATTGTCGCCTTCCGTCCCATCCGCGGCCGCAGCGGGTGCATGATGGCTATGTATCTGTGACAGGGGGGGGGGGGAGGGGAGAGGTCTGGTTAGTGACCACGTGGTGATGACTCTGTGGGGGGGGGGGCTGAAGTGTGACACAACAGGCAGTTAGTGAGGATAATTGTTGTGGACAGTTAGTAATTACCTAAGTGTAGTTACAGGATGAGAGCTACGCTCGTGGTGTCCCGTCTTCCCAGCACTCTTTGTTGTATAGTGATGGCGTGTTTGTGCTGTTAGATGGCTGGTTGTATGTGTGATAGTGACGAGGAGTGCTTCTGGTGTGTGTGTGTGTTCATCTAGTTGTGCTTGCGGGGGTTGAGCTTTGGCTCTTTGGTCCCGCCTCTCAACCGTCAATCAACTGGTGTACAGGTTCCTGAGCCTACTGGGCTCTATCATATCTACATTTGAAACTGTGTATGGAGTCAGCCTCCACCACATCACTGCCTAATGCATTCCATTTGTTAACTACTCTGACACAGAAAACATAATTTTTATTGCGTCTGTGGCTCATTTGGGTACTCAGTTTTCACCTGTGTCCCCTTGTTCGTGTCCCACCCGTGATAAATAGTTTGTCTTTGTCCACCCTGTTAATTCCCTGGAAATTTTGTAGGTGGTGATCATGACTTTCCCTTACTCTTCTATCTTGCAGGGACGTGAGGATTAGCTCCCCTAGCCTTTCCTCGGAGCTCATTCCTCTCAGTTCCGGGACGAGCCTGGTGGCATCTCTGAATCTTCTCTAACTTTGTCTTGTGCTTAACTGGGTATGGACTCCAGGAATGGTCTGACATAAGTGGTATACAAGGTTCTGAATGATTCCTTTCACAAATTTCTAAAGACAATTCTTATGTTGGCCAACCTAACATATGCCGCTGATGATATCCTTTTGATGTGGGCCTCTGGGGACAGGTTCGGTGTGTTATCAACCCCCAGATCTTTCTCTCTATTTGACTCTTGCAGGATTTCACCTCCCAGATGGTACCTTGTGTTCAGCCTCCTGCTCTCTTCGCCTAATTTCATTACTTTACACTTTCCTGAGTCAAACTTTAGTAGCCAATTTCCAGACCATTCCTCCAGTTTGTCCAGGTCGTCCTGTAGTCTCTGTCTATCTTCATCTGTCTTGATTCTTCTCATAATTTTTGCATCGTCAGCAAACACTGAGAGGAATGAGTCAATACCCTGTGGAAGATCGTTTACATATATTAGAAACAGGATGGGTCCAAGTACAGAGCCCTGTGGGACTCCGCTGGTGACATCTCGTCACTCTGATGCCTCCCCCCTCACCGTTACTCGCTGTTTCCTGTTGCTTTCATACTCCCTTGTCCATTGGAGCACCTTCCCTTTTACTCCTGCCTGTTGCTCCAACTTTTGTAAGTTTTTTTATGGGGTACTGTGTCAAAGGCTTTCTGGCAGTCTAAGAAACACTGTGTGTATGTGTGTATGTGTGTGTGTGTGTGTGTGTGTGTGTGTGCGTGTGTGTGTGTGTGTGTGTGTGTGTGTGTGTGTGTGTGTGTGTGTGTGTGTGTGTGTGTGTGTGTGCGTGTGCGTGTGTGCGTGTGTGCGTGTGTGTGTGTGTGTGTGTGTGTGTGTGTGTGTGTGTGTGTGTGTGTGTGTGTACTCACCTAGTTACTCACCTAGTTGTGTTTGCGGGGGTTGAGCTCTGGCTCTTTGGTCCCGCCTCTCAACCGTCAATCAACAGGTGTACAGATTCATGAGCCTATCGGGCTCTGTCATATCTACACTTGAAACTGTGTATGGAGTCAGCCTCCACCACATCACTTCCTAATAACACTTCCACATCACTTGTGTGTGTGTGTGTGTGTGTGTGTGTGTGTGTGTGTGTGCGTGTGTGTGTGTGTGTGTGTGTCTACAACGTGTATCTTAACACGTAAAACACGGAACGAGACGAGCCACAGAAGAGACACACTCAAGTGCTGACGATCATCAGAGGTCACCAAGCATGAGGACAACTCTGGCATGACCTGTGACGTTGTTAGTAAGGTTGTTTGGAGGAGTTTATGAGCAAATATGAGACGTTTATCTCTCCTTCCGCAAGACCTTAATTGCCAGCTCAAGTAATTACTACTGAAATGCGCCTCGAAATTATATATAACAGCAAAATAGTTATATATATATATATATATATATATATATATATATATATATATATATATATATATATATATATATATATATATATATATATATATATATATATATATATATATATATAGTGAGAGATAAGTCTCACGACTTCCAACCTTTTTAACAGTCTGTGGTGGCCGAGTGGTCAGCATATGCTGGTGTATTTAATGCATCATGCTTTCTAAGGTTCGAGTCCTTTCACGAGGAAGAGTTCTTTGGTTACATATAACTTTACATAAAGCAAAGAGGTGGAACCCCCCCCCTCTCCCCCGCCCTTGTGGGTCGCACCCCCCACATAAGCTCCCCCTGTGACGTTTGATGAGACTAGCCCCAGGCGTCCGTCATGCAGCGGTACTCAGACACGCAGGAAAAAATATAGATATTTTTCTGTTATAGATATGGGTTTAATTTATTGTGTTTTATCGTGATGTCCTTTTGCTGGAACACACACACACACACACACACACACACACACACACACACACACACACACACACACACACACACACACAAGTGTGTGAATACCTTCCATGCATGTGTACATACTGAGGGAGAGAAGATGACTACCCCGTTAAGGTTCCCCCTAGACAGTGCTCAAGGCCTCGCCTCCTCTCACCCAGTTATTACGCTGGCAAGGAAATATCGGTCTTGTAATCAAGGGGAATCTATGTGGCGATTCGTATCGCCCACTTTTGAGTTCTGAGAAAGTGGGCCCAACACACACACATAATGACCTAACTGTCTACAGCCACGCAACACTACAGCAAGGGGGGGGGGGGGAGGGGGGAATACACCACTACAGCAAGGTGGGGGGGGGGGGGGAGACACAGTTACAGTAACTTGTGATACGAAATGGATAGTGGCTCTTTTCGAAATTTCTGGCAGTTCTCCTTTTTCCAGTGACTTGATATGTATCAAAATAAGGAGCCTTTAGCTCTTTCTCTCTCTCTCTCTCTCTCTCTCTCTCTCTCTCTCTCTCTCTCTCTCTCTCTCTCTCTCTCTCTCTCTCTCTCTCTCTCTCTCTCTCTCTCTTACCTTCCATGGTGAGATCCTGTCCAGGCCCTCAGTCTTATAGTCATATCCACTTCCAACGGACGCCTCATTACTTCATTTCTGGCCATTTCAAAGTTCTCCAGTGGGGCTTGGTTTCACACCATCCCACTTAGATCTGGCGTCTCGACTTGCTCTATTAGGAAGTCCTGCTATAATGTGTCTAATTCCTCACGAACACACATCAGTGTCATTTGCAGTTAATTGGGTCGTCTAAGGTAGTCATTCCTGGCCCCTCTGGTAGTTCTCTCTGCTGGTGTGGTGGTGACCCTCCACGCCCTCAAGTGTCCTCACCTGGGATCACAACGTTGCTTAATCCTATGTCTTCTGGCGTCGCCTCGTTGGAGAGCGACAAACTTCTCGTGTCCTTCACCGCATTCCTCGCTGGGGAGTTATGTCTCCACTGTGGTCTTAACTCTTAAGTTCTGGGTCCCCTGGGGGTCTTAACTCTCAAGTTCTGGGTCCCTTGGGGGTCTTAACTCTTAAGTTCTGGGTCCCCTGGGGTCTTAACTCTTAAGTTCTGGGTCCCCTGGGGTCTTAACTCTTAAGTTCTGGGTCCCTTGGGGGTCTTAACTCTTAAGTTCTGGGTCCCCTGGGGGTCTTAACTCTCAAGTTCTGGGTCCCCTGGGGTCTTAACTCTTAAGTTCTGGGTCCCCTGGGGTCTTAACTCTCAAGTTCTGGGTCCCCTGGGGGTCTTAACTCTCAAGTTCTGGGTCCCCTGGGGTCTTAACTCTCAAGTTCTGGGTCCCCTGGGGTCTTAACTCTCAAGTTCTGGGTCCCCTGGGGTCTTAACTCTTAAGTTCTGAGTCCCCTGGGGGGTTCCTATGGTATGCCCTCCCCCCCTTCCTCCTCCTCCCTCCCTGCAAGTGAAGATGCAAGATGCAAGACTCACAATTAATCACAATTTCACAACGCACAGTTAATTTTTGAGCCATTTTGGTAACTGTTGTGGTTGAGTGTGTCTGTCTGTCTCTCTGTGTAGCTGTGAGTTGCTATATGTATTCATTTGAGTCTGTGTAAATTATATGTAAGTAGGAACCAAAATATAGAGCAACTTGCCCTCATGCTATCCTCAAATATAAATTTACATTATAAGAATCTTTTGTATATAGGTATAGGCTCGGCCACGTGGGGGAAATTGGGTAGGTTCTCTCAGCAATTGTTTCAACTTGCAGTAAGTGGGCAACGATGCACCGAGAGCGGCGCAATTCGAACAGAGGATCGACGTTAGCGACGCACTGTTCGAATAAAATTAAAAACATCGTCAGTTGTGAGTCGTATGCAAAGTGTTTTTTTTTTTTTCATTCATAAACAAGAGGGTTTACTGGCTGGATTGACGAAACATTTTGGCTTTTGTTTACTAGAACGGGCTGCTGGAGGACCCAAAGAAACTAACGCAAATGAAGAGAAAGAGATTCGAAGCCTCGGTACTGGATTCGCTCTGAAATAAAGTGCCGGAGGCGTGTGGAGACTTTTTGGAGTCCAAAGTCGTGGCCAAGTCTGACGAACACACATTCGTGTCTTTATCATCAGGTTCTAACATTTCCGTAATGGTCCGAAAGTTTGTTGACAGTAACGTGGCTTTAGTAAAACCTTTTCCAAAACTTCTTCCGTCAATTTATCTCCTCAGACACTAATTCGTGATTATTTGAGTGCTGGTATGTATATATTCTGGGTTTTATATTTTGTGTATTTTTGGGGGTTTTATATTTTGTGAATGTGTTTGTGTGAATTCTGTATTTGCTGTCTATATTCGGTGAGTATGTGTGTGTGTGTGTGTGTATTATTTGAGTGTTTGTACTGGAGGTGGGACGCTCTAC